AGGCCTCTTTCTTGCCTCTCTCCCTCCTTCCCTCCCTTCCACAAGTCCAAGGGCAAATTAGTATTGTTGTGGTTATTGTCCTTTGTCCTATGTTCTTGAAAAGGACCAAAGACGTCATGAGGGTAATATCTTGACCTGAATTGGGTTTAAGTGAGGCAGAGTAACCAGCAGCAAGACAAAATCAAGATGACTGGCTATGACCCATGCAGTGGGTGACCTTGGCCTTTTAAAATTAAGGTCTTTCCCAGGTCTCAGTTTGTCTGCGGCAATGCTCATTTAATGACTAAGGGCTAGATAAGAATTGATACAAAAGAAGGCCCAATTTATTGCCACAAAATATCAGTCTGGGAAAGGAATACCCTCAGAGTTTCTGGCCAGAACAAAAAACAATTGCTATTGACGCTCATTCTAAACCATCAAAATCTGAGCAACTAGCCATGAGAAGCTTGGGCTAGAGGCTACCATTGGGCATTCAATGAAAGCCAAAGTGATTTGGATTTAAAGGTTTAGTCTAGTAGCTCCATTTGAAACACAATGGACTTTTATAAAGCTTGTTTTTTCAGAGCTATATTTCAAGAAATCAAATGAAAACTGCACAGGACAAAAATAAATTGTCCCACCTTTTTGAGAATATTAGTTAATAAATTTTTTAAAAATAGAATCCCCAAAATATATTGTGTGTAGTGAGGGAAGAAGAAGAAGAGGAAGGAGGAGAAAAAAAAGGAGGAGGCAGAGGAGGAAGAGGAGGAGAAGGAAGAAGAAGAAGGGAAGGAAGAGGAAGAAGAAAAGAAGGAGGAAGGGGAAGGAGGAGAAAATGGCAGCATTCCCCAACTTCTGATCAAAGTGATAGGCTGTATCCCCAGAGGACAGCTGCTACTACTCTCAGATAACGTAGCAAAGACGGTTAATACAAAACCTTCTCCTGAAACCCTGGTTTACTCCTTCCCACAAATGCACACGGCATCCATTGCAGGAGTAAGCTCAAACTTAGACCACCATAGTAGTGAGGCACACATGACAAAGGCTTAATTCACCACACCTGCTCCGGAGGTGCTTCTCTCTACACAGAGACCTCACGCAGAAGCCGTTGTTACTGTTCTTCCTTCGTTCTCAAAGATCAATGACATCACAAGGGTGATGTCTTGACTCGCACATAAATTGGATTTAAGTGAGGCAGAGCTTCAAAAAATCATCAGCCTCACTCTCTCCTCCAGAGTCTCCTCAGTATCATGTAAAAATCATTTTACTTAGAAGTCTGCAAAGCTACAACTGGCTGTAGCTTTTCTGTGATCCTGGGGCAAATCACTTAACCTCTCATCCAGGGATGTGCAGGGGCAAGCTGGGACAGTGTCTCAAGAGGTCTTCGTTAAATTTTTTCAATGAGCTTTTACATTTTAGAATGGCAGACATTACAAATCAGGACTTGATTTATTGTTTTGTTGATTTTCTAGACTCAAAAAATGATAGAGAAAATGTTAATAATGCAGATTAAACTTGTAGGTGTGTTTATACACAATTTTTTTTTCTAGAGAGTCAATTGTCAAACCTTTACCCCCTGCTCTAAGTGCTTGAGAGAATTCTCTAAGGCTTTAAAGTCCAGGAAAGGGAGTTGATAAAGGGAGTTTCTTCATAAAGGAGTTCTTGATGCTAATAAGAAGACAAATCCAGGCCTTTGCACTATACCATGCCAGAGAGAGGGAGGGGGAGGGGGGAAGAGGAGAGAAGAGAAGAGAAGAGAAGAGAAGAGAAGAGAAGAGAAGAGAAG